ATCCCAATTTATCCATTTACAATACTAAGGAATTTATTTATTATAATAATTAACATTTATCTTTCCATATTATCATTTATAAATAAAGAAAAAAAATACTAAGGCATTTCTATTTCTTGGGAGATAAGGGCAAAACTAAAATATTAACATTTAATATCTTATTAGAATAAAAATAAAATATTTAAATCAAATTATCTTTATTTAGAACATAAGATAATTAAATCTGACTAGAGAAAGCATAAAACAATACAGTTCTAAAGTCAGATAATTGACTTAACCATCAATTTAGTTAACCAATCGACCCACTAAGACAAACTTACTTTGGTGGGGAGATAAAAATGATTATTGTTTGTTGTACTTATGATTTTGATGATTACAAAATACATTAAAGTGATTAATTGATTCATTTAAGTATGCAACTAAACTGTTAAAAGATTGCAAAGTAAATTAGGATTGCATTAAAAATGGACTAAAAAAGTTGAATTATGCAAAAAGCTGGCTTAAAGATATCGTAGTCGGCTCTAGAAGGCAAAGGTGCAGAGAGCCGGCTCTAATATTTGCAGCCGATTTTACGGGTGAAAATTTTAAGTTCAAAGTGTGGCGAGCATAGAAAACGAACACAAAGCCAGCTTTAACTTTGCAGTCAATTGTGATGGCGTATTTAATGCACAACAGTCGACTTATTTGAAGATTATTTAATGTTTTCAAAATTGGGATCCCAAAGCCAGCTTTATATTTTGCAGCCGACTGTTCAGGAAAACAGAATGTGTTGGAAATTTGCAAAGTCGGCTTTATGTTTTGTAGCCGGCTTTATGAAGAAAACAAAATGTGCAAAAAACTTGCAAAACCGACTGTATAGAGCCAACTCTAGACTTTAAGCCAACTATACTGACAAATCTGCAACTCAAAATTATGTGACATGCAGAGCATTTAATGATCCCAACAGCTAGAAACAGTTATTTTCGACCATTGGATTATAAATATGGTTGGTAACAAATCTGGAACAAGTTTAGAGAAAATTGTATTGAATATCTCTACCTACCAACTTGTGCTTTAACTTGAGTATTTAATCTTTGAGTGATTTTTGCTTGTAATCCTCTTCTTGTTCTATTTGTAAGTGATCTTGGGAGTGTGATTATTCTTTCAAGAGTGATTTGTAGAGATGATTGTTTGGGCTTATCTTGTAAAAGGGTGAGATTTGAGAAAAATACTCATCTTCTTGTAAAAGGATTGAATGACTCCTTTAAACTACCCTTGTTCTTGATAGTGGAGAGTGTGAAGGAAATCATTAGTGAATGAAACCAAAGTAAAGGATTAAAGTTCTAAGTGGTTGAACCGAACCTCTATAAAATCATTGAGTAAGCTCTTCTTCCTTACTCCTTTTAATTCTTTGTTTTGTGGTTACAAAGAGGAGGAAATTTTTGACTTCCAATTCATCTCTTTCTTGGAGTGCATTGAGCCAACATCATTAACCATTTAACCATTTTAAACGGTTGACACATTAACCAATAGTTAACCAACCAAACCGATACCCACTCTATATATGCACGTATTTGGTTTAACTAGGTAATGCTTGTTAAGAAGCTAACCTAGACTCTGCTCAGTCCATTCATCTAATAAACAGCTAAAGTAAGCTTGACCATGAAATCAAAATTGTTTAAAACTGAATTGAGCTGAGCTCAAGTATTATTGAATTCATCTCGGAAAATTTACGACGCTGACTTATTAATTTATGTAAAGAAACTTAGATTTGCGATCAAACTAGAACTAAGAGATTCAATTACTTCCAAGCTATGTAGCAAGGGGAAAAAAAAAAAGTGTAAATAAGCATATTAATTTTATAATTTTTTAATTTAAGGATGTAAAATTTATTAAATTTTAATTATGATAATAAATTTTTAATTTTTTAATTTAAAAATGTCAACTTTATTTTTTTCTATTTAAATATA